TTTTTGAGACGAAGTCTCGCTCTGTCGCCCAGGCTGGAGTACAGTGGTGCAATCTCAGCTCACTGCAACCTCTGCCTCCTGGGTTCAAGCAATTCTTCTGCCTCAGTCTCCTGGGTAGCTGTATTTTTAGTAGAGACGGGGTTTTACCGTGTTGATCAGGCTGGTCTCAAACTCTTGACCTCAGGCGATTCACCCACCTTGGCCTCCCAAAGTGCTGGGATTACAGGCATGAGCCGCTGTACCCAGTTGGTAACAAATTCTTGAGTAACAGCTTCTCTAAAACCAATAGCACTGAGCTAAGCATTTTACATGGATTAGCTCACTTAAGCCTCCCAACCACCCTATGAAGCCAGTAATTTCACTTCATCTTTCACATGAAGAAACTAAGACTCAGAGAGGTCATATTACTTGCTCTGCAAATGCAGCTAGTAAGTGGCAAAGCTGGTCCAAGGTCTACCTGACCCTAAAACCTGCTTCTTCCCCCTCTAGAGGCCATGTCTCTTCTCCTGTTAGAGTATAAATGGCAAACATGTTTCTCCCCTCATACCAACTCTGACTGACAGGTTTTGGGGCTCCATGTTGAAAGCACATGTGTTGTCAATGGCTACTGATGTCTGTTGTGTGTATAGGAAGGGAGAATGGTGGCAAAGATGGCCCTGACTTGCCATCTCTGTAAGGGAGAGATGTCAGCTTTCTGAAGGCAGGGATGGTACCCAACCCAGATTCCTTTCAGCCCTGAAAGCTGGTCTAGCTCCATCCAGGCATGTCCATCTTCACCCTGCCTGACTTATCTCTGCTTTATTGTTTTTTCTCCCATTCCTCCCGACTTCTTGCCCCGTGGAGAGGGCTGCTTCCACTAGTTTTATTCATATGTTAAATCGGGGATGCTGTGCTTGCATCTAGAGCTGACAATTCTGATTACCTGGACACGCCCCCTTTTCTAGCCCAGATTGACCCAGAGCTTTGAGCAATTGGAGCTATAGTGTAGCCAGGAAGCAAACACAGGCCTGAGGCCCAGTCTGGCCCTCCCAACACCTCCCTGAGCTACCTTCCCCACCTGCCCAGCCTCCCTCCTGGGGTATGAATCCTCAAGGGGATGACTGATGTCCTAAGTACCTTCCCAAGTCAATATACAACCAGATTAGATCATCATCACAGGGGGGCTTGGGGTTCATGGACAAGGGCAGATGCCAGGAGTAAGAGATGGAAGGAGAGAAGGAAGAAATGAAGGCAGCAGAGGAGAGAAGACCTGGCGAGGGTGGGGGCTACCTGAAATGTTAGGAAAACTCACCATGCTGTATGTCCTTCCATAGGACCCAGTATTTGGAATTATCTTCGAAAGTCACGAGGCAGCTTTGCTTAGAGCTGCTGACCTGGGGCACAGATAGGAAGGAGCAAGTGAGAAAGGGTTGGGGAAAGCCAACCTGGAACATAGTCTTCCTCCCCTATTTTTGTCTCCATATGCTCCAGAAAGCAGGGCTAGAAGGGGAAGGAGGATGGCAGTTCCTGGACAGGGTGTACTCCTTGTCATTGGAGTTGCACAGCCAGGGACCCATGGATGAAAACTTGGTCAGAATGTTGAGGACAGAAGCACAAGTCAGATGCTCCTCTGTGATCCTCTCGAACCTGACTTTTTTGCTTTGTAGGCTCTCAGAGCACTTTTCTAAAGAACTGGTTGGATGATGTTGACCCTAAGGATGGTGCCTGCAAGACCAGGCTCTGGCTCCTCCCACCACCAGCTTTGGGCATGAGGGACAAGAAGGGAATTCCCCGGCAATCCCCCTGCCCCCTGGTCTGACAGCCAGGCTGGAACATGAGCAGAGAGATGCTGAGCCTGAGAACAGGGGCCAGAGAGGACGAGTTTACCCTCTTGATCTTCCCGAGGTAGTACAGGCCATCTGTCCACCGGCACAGCACATACTGGCCCTCTGTCAGCTTGGACATCAAGTCTCTGAAGTTGTTCTTGACCTTCGCCAGGGCTCCCTTGTTGGGGAGGTGGCTGGTGGCACCATAGGAGTCCCGAGTCCCTGGATCCAGAGCTCGATTCTCCATCAGTTTCCCCTGACACTGGGAGAGGCAGAACAGGGTTTTTACTTCTTGCTTCCCTGCTTCAGAAATCCCATTAGGGGAAGGAAGGAAACCACCATTTCTGTATACTGTGCTATAAGCCAGACTTATTTATTATCTCACTAATTCCTCGTGGCCATGCTATGAGGGAGATATTACTATTCACGTCTTACAGATAGGCAAACAGGTGTGTCAAGGAGAAGAGGCTGATGGGCCAAAGGCAGAACCATGGCCCATACCACACTGTCTTTTAAAGAGAATGGATCTCTCAACCCACACAGAACAAAGTCCCCTACCCAGTGGGCCTGAACTGCTCCCTGTTTCAGGAGGCTGAGGTTTTATTCCTTAAGCAAACACACTCCATCTTCTCCAGGGGAGTGGCTGGGTTTTATTTTTACCCCCAACCCCTGCAACCATCCCTACCCTGTCCAGAGAAAACTCACCTAGAAAGGAAAACTGGGTGGCTTGTAACTAGTGTAGCCTGGGTCATCTGTCTTTTGTAATCCCCCCTTCTGTTCTAAATTATGAGCTGATTTAATGGAAACCAATTCTGGGACATTTAAACCCACTTATGCTTTCACCCAGATACACATTTGCTCCAAGCAGTGAAGTCATCCATCCCCATGCCAGCCTCTCTACGCCTGTCTCTCACCATCCTAGTCAACGTGCAGTTCACCCATTGATTTCTCTCTCCCTGCTAGTGGCACTGCCTCCATGCATCTCAAACTCCTCTAAGCAATGAGTTGCGACAGCAGGCCATTTTAAGTGCCATGATTTCTGGTTTTCCAGCTCTAGCTTCCATCCTCCTGCCCTGGTCTGAGTTCAGGCCTCATCTTTTGCTTGGGCCATTCATTCATTCATTCATCACTCAGGAACAGTTTCCTGGGCCTTGTGCTCACCTCCACTAGGCATCTGGGGTGGAGAACGATACTACCTGCACCCAGTGCTAAACAGGTCGCTCCTGCATTCCTGCTTCTCCACCAGACTCATCCGCAGGGCCACCAATGTCCTTCCAGAAACCTTCTGGGGCTCCCCACTGCCCTCACTAGTGCTCAAAGCCGTCCCTAACGCCCCCTCCTTCCCTGCTGGGCTCACCTGCTTCCATGCCCCTCCACACACTCTCCACTACAGCCACACATAGCCTTGCTCTTTCCCCGAGGGCCTACTCGGGTCTCCTCCTTGTGGCCATGGCGCTGGGCACCTGGTGTTATGACTATCTGTTCACAGGGAGAGAGTCCAGTGCCTGTTTCTGCGTGGTGCCTGTGTGTACTCCTGTGCGACTGGGCAGGATGATGTCTACGGCATTGTGCCAGGGAGTGTGTGAAGCTAAGTACGAGTTTACGTGCGGGGCCCCGGGGCGAGCCGGGCACTGCAGTGGTCTCGGCTCCCCAGATGGTGGCGTGGCCACGACCCTCTCCACCCCCACTCCCATCTCCTTTCTCTCCAGCGCAGAGCGCATAGGCTCCCGCGCAGGGGATGCGGTCTGAACCC